AAATTAACTTAGGGCGAACTGTCATCATTATGATGTTGACTCTTCCTATCCAGCATCATGATGTTGACTTGCTTTTTTATTAATGTTGACTTTTATCTCTTTCAATAATGCTTTAAAGTTTTCTTCATATATATTTTGATAAGTTATGGCCTAAATATTTTATCTTCTTTGATTCTATTTTAAATAGTCTTCTCCCCTATTACATTTTCTAGCTGGTTACTATTTGAATATGGAAAGTTTACTGTATTTCTTTTTGTTAATTTTAAAACTTGTTACTTTACTAAATTTTAAAATTATTTACAATAGAATAGTTTTTCTCTTGATTCTCTTGGATTTTTCAGATATACAATGATATAATCTGCTAAAAGAGTCATTTATATCTTATCCTTTTATTTTTTATTTCCTTTTTCAAATTAAAAAAAAAATTTTTTAAATCAAGGTACTGGGGATTGAACCCTGGACCTCATGCATGCTAACCATGCAGTCTACCACTGAGCCATATCCCCCCCCCCTTTTCTTATCCTTTTAAATTAATGTTCTAATATCATGTTACATGGTAGTGGTATTCTTGTCTCATTCCTGACTAGCAAGGACGTCTCTAATGTTTCTTCATTTAAAAAACATGCTGTCTCTTTTGCATACACACACATGTACACGCCTTTTAATCACATTAAGTATCCACTGATTCCTACCTCATTGAGATTTTAAATCAGAGTGGATGTAAATTAGGACAAATGCTTTATTGGCAACTGTGGAGATGAACATATGATATTTCCTCTTAGAAATATTACTATAATACATTACATTAATAGACTTCCTAATATTAACCCCTTTGTAATGAACATCACTTGGTCATAATGTATACTTTTTAAAGTATGTTTTTGGATTTTATTTGCTAGCATCTTATTTAAGATTTTTGCATCAATATTCAGAAGTGAGATTGTTCTGTAGTTTTCTTGTATGTGTGCAATCGTTATCATTTTTTTCTAAGTTCATTTCATAAAAATTTCTTGAAAATTTCTTCCTTTTTCTATGACCCAGAATATTTAAGTAGAATTAAGATTATATTTAGGAAAACCATTTATGCAATGGTTTCAGTTGTGGACTGAACTAATCACTTTTTTATGGAATATCGTTTTTACTTGAAAGAACAACTAACAAACTTTTGTTATTCACATTTGGGTATTTGGTAGAAACTTTCTCAAAAATAGACAAAATGAGCTTGTCACTTCAGGGGAAAGAAGTAACAGTATTGTTGCCAATGATAAAAAAATTCAAGCTTTTAGATGAAAATTAGAATTTGGGGAAACTTGTATCTGCAACTGTGAGCCTGAAAAGTTCCCAATACTCAAAGACTTTTCTGATGAGATATTAACAAAAGTGATTTTTAAATATTGTATAATGAAGTACATCAGTATTTAATAGTGTATAATGAAGTGTGTCAATGTGTTTCACTCAGTGAACCAATATTTTTCAAATGACCAGTTTGATCTAACTGTAAAATATTATACACTTATCGAAATTATGTCAGATCTCACATTGCAGCTGGCTTTTAACAAACTCCCATTTCTTGAATTTTAGTGTAGTACCAGAGAAAAATGCTCACAAGTGTCTAAATAAGCTATTAAAATACTACTCCCTTTTCCAACTACATATTTGGGTGAATCCAGATCTTCACACACACTGCAACCGAAACAGTATACTGTAACAGTGTAATTGCAGAAGCAGATGTATGAACCCCAGCTGCTTTCTATCAGCTCAGATAGTAAGAGATTATAAAACTGTAAAACATAAACAGTGCCACTCTTCTCACTAAATTGTATTTGTTTAGGAAAATATTTTTATTTTTCATAGGTTATGTTAATATTTAATGGGTTTATTATTATTTTCAAATGAAATAATAAATAAATATTTTAAAATTTCTCAGTTTTAATTGCTCACGTGGCAAATATTGATAGATACAATCTACATAAATCAAAGCTCTGTAGGGAGGGGGTCTTCAATATTTTTTAAAAGGTAAAGGAGTTCTGATATCAAGGAATTTGAGAACTGTTACTTGGCGGTTTCCTCAGGAAAAGTTCACAGTCACTGTTTTTGTCAACAGCCTTTGCATCTGAACACAGGATAAAGGGATATAAAATTCTTGAATCATATTTTCTTTTTGAAAATCTTAAAATGCAGTTTCATTGTTTCCAGCATAAAAACTGCTGTAGAGAAATCTGATGCCAGTCTAATTTTCTTCTCCTGTAAGTGACTGACTAGTACTTTTTGTCTGGATACTCAAGGGGGTTTTTCCTTATCTTTAAAGACTAATCGTTTTACTTGAATATGTTTTTGTTTTGACTGTTTGGGTAAGTTTTCTCCTATACACTGTATGCCTTTTCAATATGTAGACTAAGTCTTATTTCAGGAAATTTTTCTCAAAATTTTGTTCAAATATTTGTTCTGATACATTGCTCTGGTTTTCCTTACGAGAATAAATGTGTGTGTGTGTATAAAATCTCTTTTGCTTGTTTTCTGTATCTATCACTTTCTCTTGAAAACTACTTTATTTTTCTTTCTTTTTGGAAAAACGATTCTCATTTCAGCCCTTAAATGTGCTTTTTTCCCCCTCATTTTTTCAATTTCTGAAAAAAATTAAAAATTGTTTTCTTGAGACTGGTTAGTTCTCATTTAATATGTGACTGTTCTCTATCCATATCACTTTTTAGCTTTTCTATTTTTCATTTATGCTGTTCTTTCAAAGCATCTATTATTTTCTTTATTTCCTTAGAAATATTATGTTCAAGTTTTCATCTGCTCTGTGACCACATTTTTCTGTGTTATTGTCTACAGGAACACTTTAGGTTTTCACCTTGTTTCCACAGTAACATGTATGGGCTTAGAGCATATTTCTTACTTGTTTCCAGTCTTAAATGAGGTAGATTTTACTGGACTATTAGGAAAAGGTAACCTTG